TTCAGGTAGTGCTGATACTGGCATTGTGTGCATGCTTATGGGATGGGAATAACTTAGAGTTGGTGGACTCATCTATACTTGCGGAGGCTGGGARGTTCCTGTGCCACTAGTGTTAAAAGCTAGTGTCTGCCCCAGTAAGGGCAGCTGGGGGGAACCTTTCCACCACACCATTTGGTAGCAAGACTTTGATACTTCTGTATTTTTGCAAAATAAAAATGTTGTTCTAGTTCGRGTTAGGGGATATCCCGTTACAATTCTTGCAGGGAGGAATATAAGTATCTTTCTATTACCAGCAAAAACAAAAGTACAGTGCTGCATCAAAACACAATACCAATTCCACCAAGACACTTTTTTCCTGTTGAGCTGATCTCAAGTGTTCTTCCCTACCCATTACCACTCTAGGGGAAAGTCTAATAACTCACATAATTTTATCCAAAATGTGGGGCTGCTGACAGTGCTTCAGCTACTCTGTGCCRGCCTGGCCCTAACCTGTCCCACTGTGTCCATGGCTGCTGCTCGGTTTGTGTTTTCTGTGTCCTGCTGCTCTGTTGTCAACTGTGGGATCCTTGTCTCATAAATATGGTGCTCAGGTGGGGCAAGTGCCTGGAGGGACTTGTCCTAACTTAAGTGAGAGCTGGCCTAGGGCTGGGACACAGAGGTATCCTAGATCACAGAGTGCACACTCAGTAAACTTGCCTGCTGTCTAATGTGGTTGCAAGATTCCTGCCTTGCTTTTAAGGGTCCTTTTCTCCCTGGCTGATTTTATTCCAGGCCAGGAGTGACCTGTTGAGTGCTGCAGCTGTAGCCACTGTGGCTTCATATTCTGTGTGCTCAAAAACATTTGTGTGTGTCTGTCAAGTGCTGTGTGTGTTTGTCTTCCTTTCTCTGGCTGATTTCAGCAATGGAGCATCGGCCCAAAGTCCTCTGTTCATTTTCAGCGGAGTCAACCTTGAGCCCCTGGGTTTCTAAGGCAGTCATTCTACTGAAGCAAGAGGTGATACCAATAAGCCAACATCCTGGTTACATTTTCATCTATTCRTTTACCTTCCAGCAATGCACAAAGCACATCTATTAAATCCTCACTTGTCCGGAGGGCTGTTTAGTATTGCAGCAAGAGATTCTTCAGCAGACAGCAGTAGCGGCGTGGTTTCGAACCTCCCTCATGATACCCAAGTTGTGTGTGGTGTTAATCGCACCTGGGAAATGCAGTGGGCACCTGCATCTTTACTGGTAGGCACAGGGCAAAGGGAAGAGTTTTGGCCAAAGGAGATCAAAAGGATTTCATCCTTCCTGTCTCTGTCTCAATAAGGACAAAAATGGCAGCAATGTCTCACCAGAATATGGTTTTTATTAGCTTCAGTGTAATTTTATGATTGCTTAAATGGTACCTGGACCCGCAGAGCACAGTTATTTCAGTGGACATCTGCCACTAGTGGTGTGGCTTTGCATGCTGTTGGAAGCCTCATCTTCACACACGCAATGTTGTGGGACAGCCTTGTACTGTGTTTCCTAACTCTGCTCCTCTATGCAATATTGTTTAATTTCCCTCTCCCTGAAAGTTTATTGCCTTTGCATATTCAGTGCTTAGTTTTATAAACTGGATAGGGATAAAATTTAGCATGCAAAACAGCAAAGCAAGTAAAGCTATGTTGTAATTTTATACTACTGTTTTACTCTGCCTTTGTTTCTCACAGAGGTGGAAGAACTTTCAGTTATCAGGCTGAGCATCGTCTGCCTGTTTGCCTCGTGGCTTTGATGGTGTCTGCAGGTATTTAATGTGTCACTGAACAGCCGTGTCCCCTTCTGTCCTGTGWGGCACAGCTTTGGGGCCGTGCAACAGGAAAGCAGCATCTCCATCACTGTAGCATCTCTTAAGCGTTTCTGTAGGTTCTGTACTGGGAAATGTCACTGTCTCGTCACATTCAGCCTTGCCGCCTCCTCYTTATGGAGGATTAACAGGTCCTGGCATGCATGTGTGGGGCAGGGCACACTGGAGCCTGTGACTTGGTGTGAATTGCATGCATGTTCACAGGTAGTGTTAGAAGAGTCTTGCCAAGCTTCGCTTGGCGGTGTTGGTGTGTGTGCGTGTGTATATATGCATGCAGGCAAGGAAGAAGCAGCACTGACTGCAGTTCTGAAGGCAGAATTTTAATGTATTAATCCACAAGCTTCTGAGTGGCCTCTCTGCATGACGATAAGGGAGAAAAGAGGGAGGCAAATCAGAGGGGACTCCACCCTTAGCCATCCTTGTCAGTCCTGCCATTTTATGAACGCGAGTGCTGGCTTTAGGTTGAAATGTACTTGCTCTTATGTTCAGCAGCTCGTTTAATGCCACAGATTTTTTTCTTTTGTGCTGAAAAGAAATCTCTATAAGCTGTTGACAATATTAAAACTAATATCCATGCAAATAAATTATTTCCAATAAATAATAAGACTACTCCAAACGTCGTCGTTCTCCTCAGTTTTCAGTTCTTTGTGGCCCTCATCCCCTGAAAGGACTTGCTCTGGGTGAAATGGGATTTGAAAATATAGGTATTTGCATATTTTTCATTTAGAGGATAGACTCTTTAACAAGTTGGATGGCCGCGCAAAATTGGCTAAATTGAAATGGCAACAAATTTCCTTGTGATTGATAGTAGTTTTCTGCAATGTTAGATGGCTTTCGTTTTACTTCTGGTCATGAACATGTGGCCTCAAGAAGGTGTTTTTCCGCTCTAAGGTAGATGGTTCTGAAATGCCTAGGAATTTATTGCTATTGGCATTGAACCAAACGGGCCAGGTGAGTTACACCTGTGGGTTATCTGTGTGTAAATCTGAGAATTCTATAGTTCATTAGGGAACAGAAAACAAGACAAAATCTAACTCTATTTCTTATCTATTTCTGCCTTTTTTGTGTGTTTCCCTTGTGAACTTCCTGAGGTACAAGGGGCAAGCAGGTCGAAAATGGGAAGAAAATTAGAAGCAAGCCACTTGGCCTGGTGCCTGGCTTTACACTGTGTTGATTAAGTTTTAATTGGCAATTCTTGTCTGTAATATAAGATAATTGCAGAGATTTCCAGGAATTGTTTGTAGAATAGGAAGAAGGAGGCACATCTGAGTTCTACTGGAAGAGTTTAATTAAAGACTTTATATATAAAGTGCAACAGATGGTGCTTTGCTAGTTAGCAAGACAGGCGTGGGGCCTATTGGTAGAAAAGCAACCACAGTGGTTAGTGTTTCTGTTCCCTGCTGGTTAGAAATGTTCTGACATAATCTTTGATGAAGGAGACTTGAGCAGTTTAAGGATTATTTGTGCTTTATGTTCTGGTCTGAGCTTTGAAGATCCCTTTTTTTTTTTTTTTTTTTTTTTTTTTT